TTAAAAAATTATATTTTTTAATTTCAAACTAAAAATTAGATTTCATAACAGAAAATCAGAAGAAATTATCGATAAAAACAGAAACAAACTTGAAAATTAAAGAGCGATTTCAAATGAAAATTTCAAGTTACACAATTTGTGCATTTGCCCCTGTGAATGTAATTAGGTCTTTACGAAACCTACATTAACTGCTGTCAATATATATATATATATATATATATAGATTTACAAGATTTTTTACATTTAATTATTTCACCATAATTAAGGCAATGATACCACTAAGATGCAAAGGGTTACTGGGAGTGAAAGTGAGGAGAAAGGTCAATAAAAGAACAGGTTTCATGAAGACAGAAGATGTCAATTGATGTTGCATTTAAATTTCTGAAGATTGTAGGTGGTAGGGAAGGAATAAACCAGAAGCCTGAGAATACACTATTAAATAGCTATAAGTAAGTAACTATCCGTTCTATTTTAACAGTAATATAATGAGACTTAGTTGCCAATCTAGTAGTATGTTTAAATTCATGTAGCTAAGCTATCAAGGATGAAAGCTCATTAAAGCAACTGCCATGAAAATATTTATAGAAAAGACAGATGGAAATCATTTCACAGTGTTTAGATACTGCCAGGTCAGGATACGATGGAATGTTGGTTTTTAGTTTTTGCATTATGAACTAGTGCTGAATGCGATTTCCAAAGCAACATTGACATGAATTAGTATACAATACACTCTATTTGTGGTGTGCTGTCAAGTACCATTTAGTTTATTCTCTATTGCAGAGTATTTGATCAAAACTAAAATTGTGGTGGCCATGAGAAATCACAGTCACTGTCTGTGGTAAATGTGTGCCAGTGCTGATGCAAAAGAGGCCTTTGAGTTGCCTGTAGACATGTCCATCAAAGACAGTCACATCCAGGTTTTTCTGTTAGCAGCAGAACAACTTGGCATATCCAGATATGGGCCTCTCAACAACTTCTCTAGATCAGGGTATTTGTTAACCATCTCATGTCAGTAAAAATGACAGGATTACCTTCAGTCAGCACTCAGAAATTTGGTGTCTTTTACAGACATTCCCTTGGATAATTTTATTCCAGAAGTTACATCCGTTCATGTGGATTTTTGAGGCAGTGGCCTCACTAATCATTATTAAGTCTTTCATTTTCTCCTATATTTCTCCCTTCTCTGCCTGTTCCCACTTAATTGTTAAGAGAACAATCTGCTATCTGTTAAATATCTCCCCTAGCCTCAACATATCAGAAAGAAAGTCAACTTGTCTTATTTTACTACAGTGTCTTTATAGGCATTTATTCCCAGTAAATGACAATTTCTTATTTTTTACTAAATAGACCAGCACAACCAGGCAACAATGCTATAACAATTCAGCAGTGAAAGTGTTAAAAATAATGAAAAGGTATTCTTTGAGATCATTGCAAATATATTTAAATATATAGCTTGATTTTCTTCTAATAGTTTTTTTTATTATTTTTATTATTATATAATATCATTTCCAGAGCATATTTTATTTTTGGACTTTTTCATTTTTCTTTTTATGTACCATGTCCTCTCAGGATGTAGGTGATCATGGCTCTCCATCTCCCTCTATCCCTTGCAGCTATCAACAAGTTACTTCCCTCTGCTTCCTCACCCAGACCATGTTCTGTCTTCCACTTTCCAGGTATATCACACGTTGTTTTCCCTTGTCTTTATTTCCTTCTGTTCGACCCATGTATATCAGATTGTTCAGGCCCTCCTTCATCATTATGTGTCCCAGAAACTTCAGCTGCCTCTTCCAGATATTAAGTATAAGCCTCCTCCTTGTTTTCAACCTTTCTAAGACCTCATCTTTGCTCACACACTAAGTCCATGGCATTCTTAGCATCCTTCTGTAGAACCACATCTCTGTCATCTCAAGTCTCTTCATCTTTGAGGAAAACATCCAACATTCACTGCAGTAAAGGACAGATGTCATGTAACAGTTCAGTATTCTTTTCTTTGTTACCTAAGAAATCCTCCTGTCTTGCAGTACTCTGTCCAACTTTTAGAATGAGTCCTTGGTCATCCCAATACACCTACGGATCTCGGTGTCGCACTTACTGTCCTCTGTCAAGATGCTTCCCAGATATTTAAACTTTTGCATCTGCTTGATTCTAGTGCTCCCAACCTTCAAATCACATTTTGGGTTCATCTTCTTACTGATGACCATCAGGAAATAAAAAGCTTTATTTTATAATAAAATAGTTTCAAGAATTACGTACAATTTGAAAAACCAGAGTCATCTTAATATCTCTCTTTTCCATATCTTTTATGGAAATATCAATATGTTTCATTGAATTGTAAACACATAAAAAAAACACTCTATAAAGATATAAATTATAGAGCCATGCATTGACATTTTCAGAATTTTGTTTTCTCTATATAGCAAAAGCATCATTATAAATAAATGGATAAAACAGATATCATGTACATAGCATTTTTTATCCAAACTTCTGTTTTCTGTGAAAAAAAAAAAAACAAAAAAAAAACATGTTTGTGTACTTCCTGTCAAATACTTGTTGAATTGTTGAGAACATAATTTGGTTTGTTTTATTTATTCTTGATTTATTTTTCTTACTGTAAGATGTTGAGAATACCATGGACAGAGCATGAAAGCAATGAGGAAGTTTTAAAGGAAATGGAAACAAAAAGGACAATTATGCATAAAATCAGAAAGAGACACTTGAAATTTCTGGAATGCATAATGAGAAAAGAATGCATGGAAAATTTAACATTCACAGGACATATCGAAGCCAGAGGATCAATGGAAAGCAAACTAGCTTAACTAATGAGCTTATGTAAATGGATGTCAGAACAGAGATTGAAAGGAATAATAAAAAAGTCAAAATTGCTAACATTCCAGCTTTAACCCAGGATGAGACCTCAGAAGTACATTCTTGGACAGGGAGTGTAAAGACAACATCCCAGGGGACATCGCGGAGGAAGTCACAGAACGAGTCTTAATCCGCTCGTTGATAGTAGAATGAGGTTCTAGTGATGGGAGGTTCTTTGTGGGGTGTGGAGTTGAAAGAAATGTTAACAGACACCACAGCATGATCAGAGTTACCAAGAAGGCAGAGCTGCATGGCGCTACAAGATTTGGGGATAGAGGTAAAACACAGATCGAGAAGGGAGGCCTTACCTGCCAGGTTGAGGGCGAAACACGTGGGGAAGTTAACTATCTGCGTGAGAAATTAAGTGTTTGAATGCCAGCCCAGTCAGTAGTAGCATTCTAGAGCCACTTGGTATGATGGGCGTTAAAGTCACCAAACATGAATATGTGAGCAAACGGGTGTATATAAAATTTTAAAATTTAAGTGTGGTAAAAAGAAAATTATATCTTCCTATTGCAAATTCTTTTTAAAAATTGCTAAAGTAAAAACAACAAAAATTATCAGTATGAGAATGTCCTATTAACTCAATGATTGCAGTTGATTATAAAACTACTAGAGTTTTTCATCTGCAATAGTCCTTAAAAAATGTGCTCATAACTTGACTCCTGTTCTCTCTAAACTGTACAATAAATATTTTGTTGCTTGTTAGAAATTCTCTTGGATATCATGTTGAAACACCAGTTTTTGTATGATCACTCAAGGTAAGCAATGTCAAGCCAAGTCAGTATCTAAATGGGTAACTGCTTGGAAATAACAGGTGCTGTATGCTTGGATGTGCAGGTATTGTAATGGCTTGGAATTGGAACTCAAAGAACAAAGTTCCAATTCCAGTCAGGTTCGTTATATTCACTTACATGTAGAACTTAAGCTGATAAAAATTCCCAGTACATCTCATGAGATACAAAATTTTCTTTCTCTCATTTTCCCCCTTTTGACCTTAAACAGTAATGAGATAAATTTAGAAGGTATCAATAAGCAAGGGTAAGAATGAAATCATTGGAATTAATTTAGTTAAATACAGTGTAACCCGGATATAAGAGAGTTGTCGGGACCGGAGAAGAAGTCTCTTATATCCGAGTTTCTCTTATATCCTGGTTTGGTCTATTTTATATACATTAACACAGGCTCTAATTTGGGACCAGAGAAAATCTCTCTTATATCCGGGTTTCTCTTATATCCGGGTTACACTGTATATCTCTTATACATAAGAAAATCAGTCACTGCTAATTTTTCAGTATAGTTTCCAATTTCATTCTTGTACCTTATATAATAAGTGGTTAGTGTTTGGGAAAAAAAAAGTCTCATTCTAGGTAGTCAAAGAATTCAATAGAAAAAAAATGGCATTTGGCCACACGTGTGTCCTTTTACAGGCATAAATATGAATGAATATAAAAAAGAAACTAGCATGATTATATGTATGTGTAAAGGCAATAAAACTGTTGATAAAAATCTTTATTTATTGCAGTTAGGATGAAAGTTAAAAAGGACTGCATGAGAAATAAGACCCAAGATTTTCACCCACCAAAATAAAAATGTAAGTCGATGTAGTCAAATAAGGAAAAAAAAAAAAACTTAAATGAACAGATAAATTATTCCTTAGTTCATCTTAGAAAATAATCTCACAATTTTGGGGAGGACATGCTGCAAAAAGAAACAAAATTTAAAACAAAAAGGATAATATATGATTAGCAAAGCAAATAAATAACTGCCAAAAAATGTCCTTTTCAAATGTAAATATAAAGACCGATATAAACTGTAAGAAAATAGAAACTAAAAAACAATTTTTTCTTTGGAGAAAAATTGCAAAGAATTGGGGAAAAAGAGAGAATAAAAAAATCAAAAAAGAGAATAAATTCAAATTATTCAAAAATACTTTTCTATCAAATATAATCCAGCATATATAGCCTTTTTTTTTTAACTGTGGAGGGAAAAAAATGGAATAACAGTTTTAAAACTAAACGTACATATTTATTCCGCCTTTGTGACATGTAGAATTTTTCCTCACGAGCATTTTCTCTCTCTCTCTCTCTCTCTCTATATATATATATATATCCTTTTCTAAATCCTCTAAGATTTCTCCTTTCAACTCTTTCCTTCCTTCCTTCATTTTCTTTTTCCATCACCAGTCTTCTTTTCTTTCCTCCATTTTAACATCTTCTTTTCTTTCATTTTCTCTTCCTTTTAAAATTTAACATCATTTTTCTAATTCCTTTCTTTCTCTCTTTACTTCTTTTTTCATCATCTCCTTTTCTTCTCTTTTTTAATTGCTTCTTTTTCTTTCTGGTTTTTTTTTTCTCTTCTCATTATATCCTTTTCTTCTTTTTACATTTTTTAGAATTTTTCTCTCAGTGCTTCTCTTTATTTTTTTTCTTGTCTGTTTTATTTTCTTTTATCCTTCATTTTTTATTTTTTCCTTCTTCTGTTGATTCTTCTTTTTTTCAGTCATTTTAATTGATTTTCATTATCTATCAATCTCTCTTTCCTTCTTACATTTTCTCTTTTCTTTATTTTTCTCCATTTTCTTTTCTTCTCTTTTTGTCAACTGATTTTTTTTGTCATTCATTTTTTTCTTCTATTCATCTCATACCTTTCATTCTTTACTTTTTTTCCTTCGACTTCATTTTTTCTTTAATTATATTTCTCTTTGGTCACCATTCTCTTCATTTTTCATTCTTTTATTTTACTTGGCATTCTTCTCTCAGTATTTTAATAATTTTTCTTTTATTTTACACCATTTTTTTTCTCCACTTTTTCTCTGCATTCACTAGTTTACATTCAACAATCCATCAACATTTTATCATACAGTTTGTTTTGTTTTTATAATTTTTTTACCTAACCACCTACTGGACTTGTTGTGATTGTAGATGTCCCTAAAAAGTAAACATTCCCCAAACCTTTCAATAATTTACTTACTTGATAAAATTTAACTAAGCATATCAAATTTAGCAACATTCTAGTTTTACAAATAATAGGCAGCTACTTTTTCCCAAAAACATTGTCTGCTAGAACAGCTAGCTAAGCCCTGTTGTAGATGCCTGCTCAGGCACATTTATGTTTGTTCAGAGCCCACTTGTACTGTAAATATACTAAGCAGACCTTAGTTACAGTTTCTGGTGGAGAATGCATAATCAACAGTTTCAACAAGGCCAGTACACTTAAACAATTATTCATCGTGACATGTGACTTCATACTAGTAAAACTATCAAAGGCTTTCAAACTGTACTGTCTACCTAATTTCACTCAGAACACTTGGGTATGGTTTTAATCACTTTCCAATGAAGCCACATGTTAATAACTTCAAAAAGCCACTTTCTTTGACCCCAGTGAAATTCTAACATAGATCTCATTGTCAGAAAGCAAACTTTTTAACCATTCAGTCACCTACACATACATAAATAAAACCATATCTTTATGTAAAAATTTACACATATTTAGCATGTGTAATTGTAATGGTAGCCATTTCTCTTCAAGGAAATATTTGACATTCATTGATGAAGCAGACCGTACTGCTTTTAGTTGAAATTTATATTATATTTTTCTTGAAAACAATTTTTCAGGAAAATAAGTTTCTCAAGTTATCACTTTTCCAAGTATTGATGCAGGTTTCCTTCCTAACCTTTGAGTTGATTCATGTGGAATGTCAACATCTTAATTATATCATTATTTTCTCTTTATGTGATATCCATTTTAGTTGTCACCACTACTGCTGATAATCCTCGAGTGATATGGTTTCTGTTATTTGGTACAGTTATTTCTTTGTGAATCTGTAGTGCCAGTCCAGAGTGTGTGGGTAGGTTGTTCTTTTGTGTTATAACTTTTTTATGAAATAATTGATTTCCTGTATCATAATTCAGTGAACTTTTGTTAAAAATAATGAAGAAGGGTTTAATAAAGTTTATTTTTGTAAAAATATCACCCACAAGACAAAATGTCTAAAATCCTATATAAGTATAGTAGTATTATGATTTTCTGAAATCTTCTAGAACTTTTTATTTGTAAGGTTGTATGTTATGCTATAGCTATAAACTGTCAAACACATTCAAAAATACATAAGTACTATCCAATTACATCATTAGTAAATCAAAAAACAAAGCTACCGGAATATTTTGATTTTTATCTCTATAGTATTTTCAATTTGGTGGTAACCTTTTTCAGGAATTAAAACAAATTAATGCCATTTTCATTATTTTGAACAAAAGTTCATTGATTTCTGACACAGGAACATAGGGTTACAAAAAATTCATAACTCTATTGTGCATGTACATACATATACTGGGTGTGGCATAAATATTTACCATTATTTAAACATAAATTGAAACATACCTATTCATAAAAATAGTTTCAAATATTGCTTAAGGATTCCTCAAAATTCTTTTCTTTTATCGTTTACAGTTTAATATGGTGACTCAAATAAAATGTCATCAATTTGTCACTGAAAATGGCTGGTATGAAGAATTGAGGTGAAAAAAGAGTTGAATGCTTGCAGAAAAACTGTTTTTAATGTACGGAAAAAGTTTTAAGAAGTACAAAAACCTCAATAAATCCAGTTTCAAGAAGAGACCTTTCATTTTATAGTAAGAGTGTCATTGAAGAAGTGGTCGATAAGAAATCCCCTGAAGAAGCATGAAGAAGATGGCAAAAGAGCTGGATATTTCACATAGGTTGCTAAGGAGGATTGTGAAAGGATTTAGGGCTAAAACCATGCAAAGATGACAGTTGCTCTCAACTGCTTCCAATCAAAAACAGTTTGGCACAGGGAAAAAAATTTTTTTGAGGAGATGCAGTGTATCACAGACAAAGTTTTTATTTGGTTAGATGAGAGGTTTTTCACTGTGGAGTCAATGGTTAACTTCACTGAGAGTGGGAGAACATATTTCAAGTGACAGCAACAAACTGGTGCCATGCTTTATGCTGCTGTTGCATTTGATGGTTTGATATTGTCCTTAGTGTTCACTGAAGAAAGTGAAAATGTATAGCAGAGTTTATGAGGAAATGTTGGAGAGAGATATGTTTCCCTGGTTGTCATTCACATTTAGAAGTCACTATGTCTTCAACCAAGACAGAGCTTCTGCACACATGGCTAATTCTTTGCAGAATTGATGCGAGAGATGTATCTGCAGATTTTTAAACAAATTTCACCTCCATCAAACGCTGACATTAATCCTATGGATTTTGCGATATACCCCATATTGGAGGGCAATGTTTCACATATCTCATTCAAGTGTGTCAAACCTGAAATAAACTCTTATGATGATGTGGTACAATTTGAGCAAAGAGGTAGGTCATGCATTTCAGTTGAAAAGAGATTAAGAACTATAGTGAAAGCAAAGGGTGGCCATTTTGAATTGTAAATACATAGAGAATATTGTTAAATGTTAAAATCAGTCTGCAAAATTTCATTAACCTAAAATTTGTTTTTTATATTTTATGATAAAAATAAATAATGTCACACTCACTAGATAATTCCATAAACCAACAAAGGTTGATGCATCCTAAAATCAACCACCCTACATAAATACACATAGATAATTCAAATATGTATATACATAAACATGTTTCATTTTTATCTATAACGGAATAGTTATGCAAACATTCCTATATGTATTTTATATGCTACACAGCAAGAGAAATAGATTATTGTATCATTATAGAGCTTATATGCTTTATATAGTTGGTATTATGTTCTATGTATATATAGGAATTAATTTCCTCTTTTTTAAATGCATGCTATTCACATTATGACATGAAAACAAATTGAAAGTATCATTAAGGCAAACCCATTATATCTTAATATGCTTAAGGCAAAGTTTTAAGAATCTGTAAAATTTAATTCTTGGAATGCCAAATTCATGTCAACTCATTTTATGAGCCAATAATAATGAATGAAATCAAGAAAAAAATCTTTACATTATTTTTTGATGCATTTTATTTCAAATGTGATCATAGATAATTCAAACTTTTTAAACAGAACTGATTAAAACAAACATTTGTAAGGTTCAAAATGGAAGTGATTTTTCACAGTTTATTCTTGGTAAAAGAATGATTAATATTTAGATAGGGAATCTGCCCCAAAAGTGTATTTTTTTCCCTTTGATAGTATTAGGAACATTTAGTTTTAACTAATTTCATTAAAAAGGATCACTTTTGACTGTATTGTGACAATTGGCATTTTATTGGAAATAAACCCTATTTCCAACACAATTATATACCCATATGCATACCATATTAAAACTTGCCCAAACTTAATTTTCTACACATTAGACAATATTTAGTATTTACAAACATGCCATATATATATATATATATATATATGATATTCAAAACATGCCTAACCTTTATTTTCTACCCAATAACAGACAATATTACAAACACTCCAAAAAGATTCCACAGTACAACACGCTGTTTAAATCAAACTTTCTGTTGGTTAGAAATTAACATCACCATGTGAAATATCTAACCAATCAGGAACAACTAAAACCCAGATTTCGACTTTCAAAAGTAGAAATGTAACTATCTCCAAGCCGTTCAGGTACAAGAAAAGATGTGGCTACATAGCTTTTTCTAAGCCCAAGTGCCCACACCTCAGCATGTGCTGAAACATGTGTCTGTGACTTTAAACAAACCATCTCTGACAACAGCAACAGGGGCAGTGAGTGAATCTTTACCAAATGCAAAAGTCTTTTCTCAATCACTTTTTCTGTGAACAAACTACCTAAGAGTTTTTTTTCCCTAAACTACAGTCTTTTCTATAGACCAACTAACCAAAAACCTTAACTCAACAAAAGACTATTATTTTTATTGTTTCAAATTCAGATATTCACATGTTTGATATATAAAAAAAAACAAACGAGATGACAAAATTTCCTATAATATCAGCATGTCAAAATTGGTGTATTTTTTCCATCTGAATTTCTGGGATGATGAGTTATCATTATTTACAATCAAACTAATCTCCTCACCTTTGTTGCCATTATCACAATGTTTTGGCTATTCTGCCCTCTGGCCATTATCAGATGTCTATCAATTTGTCTATCAAATGTCTATCAATTTCAGAGAATTTTGAACAGAATCTTTTATTTAATCTACAAGGATATATTGTTCTCATTCCACTATCCATGTTGTACAAAAAATACCAACTTATGTTGTAAAAGGATGATGAGGACATATGCTTACAAACACCATTTG